TTTAAGGTTAAGGTTCAGCGCCCATGAAGCCGAAAGCGCAACCTTCTACCCAGAGAGCCCAATACCCCTCAATTAAGGAATATGAATATGGCTTAAACTATATAGGACTTCATATATGATTTAAGCTATATTCCTTTATTAAGGTGTGTATTGGGCTCTCTGGGTATCTCAGGGCAAGCCTGCGCTGTGGTTACTATGTACTGGGCATTGGTTTTCGCTGGCATGGCCGTCGGCGTAGCGGCCAACAGCTTGTGAGTCTTGTCCGGCATATGTGGGTGGTTGTCAAAATTATGGCCCCTTTTTGGGTACCCTTAATATTAGGTGCTGTGCTATAATAAGGACCCAAAAAGGCACCCTAATATTGACAACCACCCATCTGTGTGTATACATATTTCGTTACAAGGAGAAGAGTGTGCGTGCCAATACTGTCTTTGCCGCCTTGGCCTATTCATGCACATATGGTTTGTTATTCTTCTCATGTTACCTCATCTCACCATAGCTTGTCTTTCCTTACTTCATATTCTCTTCTCTTCTCTTCTCTCTCTCTCTCTCTCCCTCTCTCTCTCTCTCTCTCTCTCTCTCTCTCTCTCTCTCTCTCTCTCTCTCTCTCTCTCTCTCTCTCTTTACATATCTGTCTATACAACCATCCATGCATCCGTTCATCCATCAATATAACACTCTGTCTGTATGTCTGCCAGTAAGTCTATGTGTCTATCTTCCTGTCTATCTCTATCAGTCTTGCCTTTACATTGAAGAATTAAGCATAAGGGTTCATAGTAGATGATTATGTTATGTGTGTGCGTGTGTGCGTCTTAAATGTTGGTGGCTTGGGGCTAGTGGTCCAGTTCGGGTTCTCTGTGCGGGAGCCAAAGTCTTGAAAGCGCGTCACTTCGACATATTTCGGCACCCCCATGCAATTGAGGAAGTCAAGGCCTTTGGCGTTGAGCGAGTCTCGGGCCTTTATCGTTTCGCGAGATCAAAGGCATCCATGAGCTGAGGTAACACGGGCGTGTCTTCCGACGGCCAGACTCTTGTGCATGAGAGCCAGTGGGTGAACGTTGCTCGCTTGCAAAATCGGACGCGACGAAGCCTAAATTAGTACCAATATTATTCCTGAGGGCTCCTTCATATAGTTATACTAAAACGGAGCCTAAAACCCTAGTCTAATTGTTAAGGCCCCTACATTAGAATTGAAGGTTTCGGGTTCGGAACTCTCCCAAAACCCAGGACTGAGGCCCCTCCCAGTCTCTCTTTTAGAACCAGCACCTAGAGTAGGCCCTTATTCCCTTTTTTTTGGGTTCAGGTTCCCTTATAGGCCCCTTTAAACCAAAAAGGGCACCCTTTTTATTCCTAGGTTACTCCTAGGTCTAGGAACCCTTTATAGAGCCCTTGAGTGCTCAGCCCTAGACCCTAACCCCTTTGAACCCGAGGTCTCCCCCTTGGAGTTATAAAAAGATAAAAACACCTTCTACCTTGGGATCCGAAAACCTACCGTTTTAGGGTTTTTTGGGATCCGAAAACCTACCGTTTTAGGGTTCCTTGGGATCCGAAAACCTACCGTTTTAGGGTTCTACCCTCTACTTTAGGGGTCATAAGCTACTGTATTTTAGGGTTTGGGGATACCTTTTGGTGCGGCAACCCGAAGCTCTGGCCCCCCAAAACCCTGAAATCCCTGACCACGCTAAATCCCGCGCCCTTAGAACCTTAATGGGAACCTTTGTAGAGCCCGAAAATCAACCCTTATCATATCACCCAGAACCTATGCAGAAGCCTAATCGAGCTTAGCATAATAAACCCAAAGGGCCAAAGTACCGATGTAGAAGGTAGCTTCGTAGTAGATGTTTGGGCCCCAAGAGTATAGACTATACTATACTGCTACCTGGATCTTTGGGAAACCCCTTCAGGTCTTGCTTGGAGGTTGTTGGCCCGCCTTTTTCCTCGTGCTGGGCGCTTGCACCAGCGCCAGACTCGGGCTACCTGGTGCAGGTCTGAAGGATTCTGCAAGGGCGCTGTAAGGTTGATGAGGGTTTAGATTCAGGGTGTAAGAGTTGCGTGTTCAGGGTTGGGCTTCCATAATTCTGTAAAGTTTATACGGGTTCTATGAGGGTTCCATGAGGGTCTTGCCATGGGCTCTATAAATCCACCATTAGGTTTCTGCTAGGCTGCCAGAAGAACTTGAAAAGGCTCTACCCCTAGGAGTTTAATAGCACCGTACTGGCCTTGGTGTCGTTTTCTTGGATTTGAGGGACTGTTTTGAGTTTTTGGTTTTTCGCATGGTGAAGTTGAAGGCTTTAGGTCAACTTTGCTTCATCAGCGTATACGTGATATGGGCTGCGAATGCCTCACACCTAGCATGCAGTGCTTGCATGAAGATGGTATGTGTTGTTTTGAGCCACACGCAATATGTGTGTTTTCTGCATGTCTATGTGATGCTGTGTTTTCAATATGTGCATATGTATGTGTAAATCTTTATTTCAATACACATGTATATATATATATATATAATTATATATATATATATATGCACATGTTCGCATGTATATGTGTGTGTATATATATATATATACACATGTATGTATCCATGTATGTATGTCTCTGTATGCCATAGTTTTCGGATGTGGTCTTGACCATCGGAATATTTGTTTACGTACCCGTGGTATCAAAACTTGGAGGGAGGGGGTACTAGTTGCCAACTCAATACAAAGATATACAGAGCTAAAACATGTCTTTCGGACCCACGAAGATACGGCTTGCCTTAACCAGGTGCTACCAAACGCTCTTCCTTCATAGCGGATCTATGTTTCTACACACCCATAAACATGAGCTGTACAGCATATACGTCCTTCGCTCTACACGTACATGTTTGGTGCAAGGCCGAGTATAAGCTACACCTGGCAGCTGCTGAGCAGTGGCCAACCCTCTAGAAACTCGTGGGCTCTGGGTCCAGGCTGTTTTAGCAGGTTTTAGGCTACGGTGCAGGTGGCTTCTTGTTTCAAGCTAGATTAGATCGGCCTTCTTTCAATTGAATCACAGACCACAGCCCCACAGAACAGTATTGTCGATGCAGTACCAGCACGGCTCGTTTCGCCTTCTTGTCACGTCACGCCCAAGTAGCAAAGTACCGTTGAGTGCCAGTCTGAGAGAAAAGATTTCGGGTTCGCGATCTTCCTGACAGCCGAGGAAGTATGTGACGTCGCGCCTGTTGGCGCAATACGAGTGATATGGACATGCTTCAAACTCTGCGCCGATTTGCTATCGAAGTGTAAGAGCACTCATACTGAGGGGATTGCATGCTGCCGCTGCAGCGAAGCAGGTTCTATGGCAGGAGCTCACATGCAGGAACCTTCAGCTGAAGTAGGGCTTTCATCAAGGATTTCTATTTGGGAGTTTCCGAAAATTAGGAGTACTGTATTCTGGAGTCCTTACCATCGGGATCCTACCATTTAGGGTATTACATTAGTGTCCCCTATTTTCGGAAACCCCCATGTGGGTCTGAACAGGGTTTTGGAAAGCGTATATGCTCATGATTCCTGAAAGGGATACCAAACGTGAAACCCTCCTTCAGCTGTGTTTCAAGCTAAGTTGCGAAAGGCAGATGCTTGCTCCTAGATGCCAACCCCGGATCCTAAGCAAGCCCAAACCTTTGCACTCTACGCCTGAAACCGGAGCAAGGGGCCTGGCCCCCCAGTAGCCGCGATGTCAAGGGCAAGCTGCTGAAAATAGTTTTGCCTGCCGTTTTCCTGGAAGGGCTAAGTTTTCGCTGTGACATATAGCGGCGTGCAGGCTCGAGTGTTTGACGATATGCTGTACATAGACATAGCATGCAAACGAGATGGCTGCGAAGCATCCGGAGGATTACTTTCGCCACAGCATTGGCACTCCCCGCTCTGTAGGCGAGCTCCATGGATAGCTTTTCTTTAAATATGTGCTCATTCAAAAGTCAAGGAAAAAGTGTTCTGTGATGCGCTTGGACGAGCTTCGGTGTCACATTACTGCAGTGCGCCAGTGTCCCAAACGCTACACATCCTTCACTCCAAGACCTTAACCAGATACCGGAGCATAGCTGTTGGTGGCGCCATCCACCTGCTGGCAGTCTCAAATCAAGGTAGTTTTCTGCAGTTTGTAACTTCCGAGCATTTGCGGTCGGCGTCGTCTTCCTCGTCCTGGTAGTGGCAGCAGCAGCAGCAACAGCAGCAGCGGGCGCAGCCGCGAGCTGCGATTGTACGTGGTACTGGTATCAATCAACTTCGATACTGTTGCGAGCATTTGCACCACTAACATAAAAAACCACTATCGTCCCTATCATCATGCTCACCATCCTCCGCGAGCATCAATTATATTATAACGCCCAGCATCTAGAATACCAGAACCATCGCCATCACCACAACTGCACCATCATATGTCTCATCACCACCATCATCATCAGCAGCAGCATCACCCCCATCATCATGACCAACATTCTCAGCCATAGGATTTGCATCCCCTTCGTCCCTTTCTCAGCTCCTGTCTTGCCCTCAACATTCAGAGCAAACAAGTCCTAAGCCCTGAGTTCTGAATCCCATTCACGCCTGAAATTCAACCTTGAGCTTCAGACCTAATTTAAACCCTAAGCCTTGAAACCAACAGCTCCAAGCCCTAAATCGTGACATGAGTCGAGGTTGTCTCGGAGATCGTCGTCAGCGAGCTCCGGGAAGGGTGGGTGGCCCCAGCTATATGGATCTGGTGTTGCGTTTTAGGGTTTAGGGTTTAGGGGCTAGTAAGAATTGATGCCTTACCTAGGGGTCCTTATACTTCGGATCCTACTGTGTCCTGCCACGGGGTTGATTACAACTTCCGTGCTAGCGCTGTGAACTCTGATTAGTCCTGGGCCTTTTTGCGGAACCCGCCTCGGATGTTGCATCTCAGAGTGAACTTGCCCTAAACCCTAAAACCCTAAGCCCTAAACCCTAAACCCTAAGCCCTAAACCCTAAACCCTGCCAGTGGCTCCCGGTCACAAGCCATGGGCATCTTGCCGTCCTGCAAGCTGCCCCTTAAGGGTTCCTTCAAGGGATCTTTTAAGGGATCTATATGGGTTCCTTCCCGGTTTCCTTCAAGGAATCTACTTGGGTTCTTTTCAGTTTTTCAGCAGGAGGAACAATCAGTTATCAACAAGAGCAGTAGAATTTGAGATTGAAGCCGCTGAGGTTTGCACCATTGAAGACGGCGCAGCCGCCCCTCAGCACTGCACTGCAGCGCGCAAATGCAGCAAAGGTGGGGCCGAGTTCCGCAAAGGGCAGGCTGCGAGTCATCTTACTACAGAAGCCTAGCTAATTGCCAATGCTATTCCTGAGGGCTCGTTGGGATAGTTATTACCATAAGGCGCCCCTAAAACCATGGCAAACCAACAAGGCCCATGTATTGCTTAAGTTGCTTCTTTTGGGGAATCTTCAAGTCTTTCAGTTTGGCCACATCCTCTTGCACAGTCCATGGCACTCGAGCATGCGCAGTGTTTGGCAATTTCCTGGCGACAGCCCAGCTCAGCCTAAAACCTAAACCCTACTTGGAGGGTCGGGGGACTTAGTAAGTAGGTAGTAAGTAGACTTATATGTACCCGACCCTATTTGGGGTTATGGTACTTATAAGTCCTTAAAATACCTACTTACTAAGTCCCCCGACCCTCCAGACCCTCCAAGTAAACCTTAACTCCTGAACTCTTCCACGTGCGCGGCGAGGCACGAGGTTCCCTCCAGAACTACCAGGCTGGAGGGTTTCGGCATGGCGTTTTAGGGTCATCCGTAGGGTTTAGGGCCTTAGCGGTTCTAGGGGTTCGGGACAGTTGGGCGCTTCCGGGCCTCGTTCGCAGGAAAGTCGCAATTCGTTTCCGAGCTTTCTGCAACATCGGAGGCAAGATTCAGCCAGAGCATGCGAGGGGTGGTTCCAAATTAAGTCGTAAGTTCCCCTGTAAGACACTATGTGGGCCTCAATAATTACCTACACATCATAGCAAAATATACCACCCAAAAACCCTAGTCTCAAGCAGCCGGTGGCTTTCAATGCAGAAGCCGAGAGGGAGCTGAATGTTTGCAGCAATCCCTGTATGGCAGTCGTACACCCTGCCAGAATGGCGAGTAATTCTATTGCAAACCGGTTTCTTAGGATGGTTGTATTGGAATGTACCCAACCCATAAAGGCCCTTATAGTAGACCTCCCTCTTAAAGCAAACCCAGACTGCCTCTGCCAGACCGTGTGCGTCCGCCAGCACTGCAACCTCTACACTCTACACCTTAGTCCCTGAACCCTAAACCCTAAACCCTGAACCCTAAACCCTAAACCCCTAAACCCTAAACCCTAAACCCTAAACCCTGAACCCTGAACCCTGAACCCCTAAACCCTAAACCCTATAAACCCTAAACCCCTAAACTTTAAACCCTAAACCCCTAAACCCCTAAACCCTGAACCCACAATCTGAACTCAAAGTCTTGTCACAGGCACCCTTTGAATCTATCAGTCCGGAAGCCCCGAAACCCGAAGTTGCCAGAACTCGACGCCCCAAATCCCTGCAGCCCCCCAGTCCCTTAGAAGACTGAGCCCAAGAAGCCCCACGGTTTAGGATTTAGGGTTTAGGATTTAGGGTTTAGGGGTTTAGGGTTTAGGGTTTAGTGTTTAGGGGTTTAGGGTTTAGGGTTTAGGCCATCCATCCGTAAAAGTAACTTACAACACCAAGCTCCCAACATCCGAAAGTAGCACCACAAACCCCTCAAGCTCTACAGACCCTGCAAGCTCTATAGACCCTGCAAGCTCTGCAAGTCCTAGACCTCAGTAAAAGCCCTTGAACACTTGTAGCCCCCCAAGCGCCTTAAACCCTGCACACTTAAACACCCTGACAACTCTGAATCTCACAACACCCAGTCCGAAAGCTTCTAAACCCTAAAGCCATCTAAACCCTAAAGCCCTGAAACACCAAAGCCCTAAAACCCTAAACCCTAAAAATTAAACCCTAAACCCTGAACCCTAAAAATTAAACCCTACACTCTAAAGCTCAGTGAGAGGCTTCTCGGATTCTCTCCTCTCTGGCTGACTGGGGCACCATGCCAGGTGGTGCAGCGACTGCCTCGAGGGCTGGGTGCGACTGCTGATGGACAAAATCCTGCATTACCCATTATAAGGAATATGGGTACCTTTAAGGGATCTATAGGGTTTTAAGGGTTTAGGGTTTAGGTATACAAATCCTGCAATACCCATTAGAAGGCATATACCATAGTTCCCATAGTTTAGAGTCCTTAGGGTCATGCAGGATTTTGTCCATCAACAGGAGGAATCAGGGTTTAGGGTTCAGGGGCTTAGGGTTTAGGATTTAGAGGGGTTCAAGGGGGGTTCCAGAGTTTGGGTGTTAGGTTTCGGGGTGCAGGGAGGTTTAGGGTTTTGGGCGGCACCTTAATCCCTAAACCCAAAAACTTCAGCTAGCCCGAGGTCCTAATCTCTGAACCCTCAACCCAGAACGCTAAAGTCTGAACTTCAAGGTCTGAAACCCTTGAATCCCAAATCCTAAATCCTCGACCCCCCCCCCTCCCTAGGGATCAAAAAATGGCCCAAAAGCCTTACATAGTATGGTCTTTGGGCCCAAAAGCCTTAATATGTGAGTCCTTAGATCCCTAGATTCTCTCCCTTTGCCGGAGTTACGAGGTTCCAGCCTGGGTGGAGCATCTTCCAGCACGGGAGCCCAGGGACAGTGGCCGGCGGCTTCCGGGCTTTCAGAGGAGTTAGGGTTTAGGGTTGAGGGTTTAGGGTTGAGGGTTTAGGGTTGAGGGTTTAGGGTTGAGGGTTTAGGGTTTAGGGTTGAGGGTTTAGGGTTGAGGGTTTAGGGTTGAGGGTTTAGGGTTTAGGGTTGAGGGTTCAGGGTTCAGGGTTGAGGGTTTAAGGTCTAGGGTTGAGGGTTGAGGGACATTTAGGGCGGGTTGTCAGGATGAGGATGGAGGTTGTAATTCGGTGTTGCGGGCTTGGGGCAAGTTTTGGGTTTGGGATGCAGGGGTGTGCTTGTGAGGTTAAGTTTTCTTCAGGGTGGGATGAACCCAGGTCATGTAACACCGCCACCGTGTCATAAACTTCTAGGCAATGCGTCGTAGTACCATACGGCACCAAATGCAGCGCACAGGTTGAAGGTTGGACTGGATGCAATGTACGTATAAGTTTGTGTCTAATTATGGCTCAAAAAGGCTGCCTTGAGCTACTGGACCAGAGTTGCGAGACGACTTGCAGATTGCATGATGGATAACTTTGAAACAAGTGCGGCTGACTGCTCTTGGTTGTCTCATGAGTACTGCCTGTGAACGCGTACAGTTTCAAGCCTTCTATCCTTCCAAGCCTTTCAAGATGGCATCGAGTACTATTCCGAAGGTCTCCGTAAAAAATGAGTATTGTATAATTTACACCCAAAACCTATTTCTAATCATTACCTGTAGCCGAAAAGACCTACCGTTTTAAGGGAATATATAAATATGGTACCCCCCCCCCCCAAAGACCAAGGTTTCTATATGAGCTTTAGATACAGCCTACTTACACTAGCCGATAGTCGCTGGTCTTTGGGGGGGCAGGGTGCCAATAACAACCCTGTTAGGGTGTAGGGACAAACATGCATGACGCAACCCCCTTGTGGTTTTCATACAAGCCTGCATACAATTAATCCTTATACCATTTCCTGTCGCACATTCCAGGAGGCCTATTGAATTCAATAGGCCCTATTGAATTCAATAGGCCTTCTGGATTGAAGATTGAAGATTGAAGATGCCCTCAAAAAGTTTCCGGGGAGATCTTCAATCTTCAATCTTCAATCCGGGAGGCCTATTGAGTTCAATATGCCCTATTGAACTCAATAGGGTTTATCTTGAAATCGATCATGAGGGCCGTACGTGGAAGTGTGAAAATTGGGTTCAAGGGTCAAAGTCTACCGCTGCGCTTGCGTACTTTGGAGTACACGCATATGGGTTTTGAGGGCTATGAAGAGAAAGTCATCAACTAGACGTATGATACTACCTTTAAGCTTCCCTAAACGTATTCTCTTGATTTACGCCCAGCTTAATATCAGATAACACTACTAGTTTTATGCAACAAATGCAGTTGGAATACTAAGAATATAATCGAGGGCTCAATCTATCGAACTGTATACTACTGTGGTATCAAAAGCACATACTTTAACGTCCATGTAGCTAGCAATCTATGCATGAATGTATATGTTCGATTCAATTATTGGAAAGACTACTAAATGCACCGTAAGTAAATAAACACTCCGGATCTGGCCTATCCAGCTGTTTGCGTACTTGTGAAAATAATATTCTACAGCTTTTTTTTTACTAAGCTACATCTTCATATAAGTATAACGTTGTCCCTACAGGCACTACTGTGAATATATTGCTTTCTGAGATCTAATCGGCAGACAACAAACCCTCTATGCTGTTTATATATGTAGATCTGACGATTGTTAGCTCAGCAAGCCCTATGCTTGAATTGACCCGAGGATTCAATTCAATATACCCAATCATCTAATTACCAACATACAGAATAATCATGTTTCTGCAGTCAGTAGTCCGTATAAGTATGTCATTATCCCGTAGTGATATCATATGAAGCATTATAAATATAGTTTTCTGTCTGTTCGTGTTAACTGGCAAGGCACTTCATGAATAGCTTAGTTGTAGAGAGATTTCTTCAGGCTGTTTGGCTCCTATTCAAAAGTATAGCTTCCAAGGTTCTACTATACTGCTACTATTAAGCAGCTATCTGGGTAAATCGCAACAAGGAATCTCAAGCCATATTATTTGCAAATAGCAGTTAACAGACCCTGTAAATTCGATTGTATAACCAATTGCTGAGTACTTAACCTTATTTTTCCAAGAATGAAATGGTGCATGCTAAATGGTAACACCGAGGTCGTATACTTAATAGGCATGTTTAAACTGTAAGACTATATGCTTGATATCTCAAACATATAGTCTAAGAATACATGTCTTTGTAGGGCCACATCTGTAGTAATTAACAAACCCTGGAAGTTCAATTCTATATTCAGCTGGCAAATGATTAACCCTTTCTTTTCGCATACAATAAATGGTACACACTAAATAAACGATGGCATCGAGGTACTGTGCTTGGTAGGTGTTTTTAAACGTTACAAGTAGCTTGATTTCTTAAAACCAATAGTATAAGAATAAATGTGTTTCTGGGGTTGACCACATACTACAACTGAAGCTAATAAAGCACACGGCATGGGGCGAGTTTGCCATACGAAGTAAGCCGTCAACAGAATATGGCACTTGAATGGAAAACGTTTTGGTCGTGATCGCGCCTAGAATGGCTCTAGGCGAGAAACCAAAAAACAATACCACCAAAAACCAAAAAAACATACCGCCAAAAACAAAAAACACTACCAAAAAAACATTATTTCAGTATTCTTCCAGAATAGCATTAGAATTCTATATTAATGGGAGCACCCACCAATGTTCTTATCTGAAAACCTTGGTCTTTGGGGGGGGGGGGTAGCATAAATATATATATATATATATATATATAAACCATAATAAGGAACCCCACAAAGGTGGGTCTTTTCGGCTACAGGTAAGGCTCTGATATTACGGCCTTCGAAGCTTCTGAGCACTATTGCGAGGCGGACAGCCCACTAGGTCGCCGATGGACAAAGGCAGCTTCCATGGACCTCTTTGCGAGGGAACCAGGCGACCTTTCTTTGCAGTCTTCCCTCTCTGCTTCGGGTTTAGGGTTTAGGGGTTTAGGGTTTGGGGTTGAGGGTTAAGGCCTGATCGGGATGGTTGTTGGCAACCTGGTGTGGTGATGACACGCATGTTGCTCCAACTGTAGTATGCTTTGTTCGTCCACGGGTCCTGCTTACAGAAGTGCTCGCGAACCTGCAGAGGACTTCTCTTCCGCATGCTGATGTTCTGCGGCGAGGCTCTCCAGCCTTTCTTGTCAGGCTCAGCAGAAGCATTGCCACGGTACTGCTGCTGCTGCTGCCGCTTCCGCTGCTTCTGCTCCACTACCACTACCACTACCACTTCCACTTCCACTTCCACTACCACTACCACTACTACTACTACTACTACTACTACTACTACTACTACTACTACTACTACTACTACTACGACTAGGTGCTCGTGATCTTCGTGTCAGAGTTGTACGACCTATCGCCGAATACAAAGCAGAACGAGGCGAATAAACTAGTTATTTCGTCACATACTACCGAGACCTTCTCTACGATGGTTTACCGCTGAGGTCAGTACGTGCACTATTGAGGTCAAACCCCAAACCCAAAACCCTAAACCGACATAGGCTGGGCTGCGCAGCTGCACAGCCCCAAGGAGCCGTTAAGAAAAAACAAACCTAAATTCATCATAGAACCCTACTATAGATCCCCTATAGACCCCTTGTAAAGGACCCCTTAAAGAAACCCTATTCAAATCACGTTCAATTCAGGTGCAGACCCTCGCCATGGCTGGGCGTAGCTGCTGCTGCTGGCGGCAGCTGCTCCTGGACACGGCCCTGTCCTCGAAATGGGGGGTTTAGGGTTTAGGGGTTTAGGGTTTAGGGCTTAGGGTTTAGGGTTTAGGGTTTAGGGCTACGGCTCTACGGGGTATAGGGATCAGCGTTTAGAGGTTTAGGGCTTAGGGTGATTAAGCCCCCCAAAACCCCCACCTTTGTCAGGACATAAGCAGGGCCTGGACTAAGTAGATGTTGGGCTCCTGTTGGTAAGCCCTAAAGCTCCATGTACCTTTATAGTAGATACTTGGGCCTTAAAGGAGTCCCTATATAGGTACTTTAAGGCCTCTGTATCTACTATATGGGTACATGGAGCCTTAGGGAAGGTAGGACTCAAGGCCTCTTAGCTTCAAATCCCAAACCTTAACCTGCGCCCTAGACCCCAAACCCTAAACCTTGAAACCCTACCTAGTCTGCAGTCGGAAAAAGGAGCTCAAAAAAACTAAAACTTGACCCAAGCCCTAGGCCCTAAGCCCGAAGTCCTACAACGCCCTGAACCTCTACAACCCCAAGCCCTATAAGTCCTAAACCCTAAAGCCCTAAAGCCCTAAAGCCATCTAAAGCCCTACAGCCCTAATCCCCTAAACCCTAGAGCCCTAAACCCTCCTGAACCCTAAACCCACTTAAAAAAGAAACGCTAAACCCCTAAACCCTTCTAAACCCCTAAACCCCTCCTAAAGCCCTAAAGCCGCTGAGTCGAAAGCTGCAGGCACGGCCCTCGCAGAGGGGCACTAGTCAGCCTCCGCGCCGGCTCTGGAGTTGGGCCGGGACCCTGGGTTTCGGAAGTCTCTTAAAAGGGTACGACGAAGGGACTGTAGGGTTCCCTTTAAAGGGATCCATAAGGGTACTAAAAGGGACCTTCCGAAGTATGTTGGGGTTTAGGGCGTAGGGTTTAGGGCTTCAGGGTTTGACTTAAGGTTTGTTTAGGGCTTTGTGTAGGGGAACTCCCGAACTTGCAGGCTGTATGCTGGGGACACGGAGTGGATGCTGGACGCATGCCCTTACGGCCTAATTTAAGTTGACATATCAAGGACCCATTTCAAAACAAGAAATTGTCTAAACGCACTAGAAACACCGCACTATAAAGAAACCCATGGAAGCAATACGACCGACGGAGTTTCGCCCAGGTCCTCCGCTTCGGGCGGCCGCCGTCCGCTTCGCAGCGCCCCGTGCCCAGGGAGAGATGGGAGTCTCAGACATGTAACTAAACGCTAATGAAGACCCAAACATAGACTCTAGATTCGGGTCTCTTAAGCCTATATTCGCAAGTAAAAGAGACCCAAATCAAGGGCCCAAGTCTAGACCACACACATCTAGAACCTACATGCTAGGCTATGTTAGAACTACCAAAAGAGGCCTCCTAATTGTTTTAAGAGAACCTCCAGACTGATCTCAGCCATGCACGACGTTGAGTTGAGGAGATCGCAGGCAATGGTAGAGCAGGGCTTTGGAGAAAAGAATGTACCAATGCGACATGAGATCGAAAACCCTAAACCCTAAACCCTAAACCCTAAACCCCTAAACCCTAAACCCTAAACCCTAATGTTCCAGGAGCGGTTCCCTATGGCACCAAGCCCGCGTTACCCAGACCCTTGGAAACCCTGAGGCTGAGGTGTGCACAAGCCTAGGGGTTGAGGGCCGTGCCCCGAGCATTGTTAAGTCTATACATATCGGCAGATATCTAGCTTCAGCCTGCACTTATTACAGAATGCATGTATATCATTTCTAGGACATATCAAGATATGTTATACCATATTGCATTAAGTACCTCTCCCTCACTGTGTCTACATATGCTATAGAAGCTATGTGACTACACAACAAATACAACTGAGTATGTGCATGTACTAAATAATTTAAAAAAGATCAGGACACACGCACAAACATATGTATGTGTGTGTGTATATATATATATATATATATATATATATATATACATTTACATACATGTATGCATGTGCGGGCCTGTGGTGTGGCGCTTTCTGTGTTGTACGTTTGTGTATGTTGTACTTACAACATACTTCGCCCGGTAGCTGTAACCCGACACCCAGAGAATTTCTTTTTTTGAGCGTCCGAGACCTCAAGGCCTTGGTTTCTGGCGCTGGGCCATCAGCAGCCTCCCAGAGGAGCATTGTTGCAGGGCTTCGGGTGTTTCGAGGGTTTTGGGATGTTTTGGGTTTGTTCTGCTTTGGGGTTGTTGGTGTTATATGGTTACGGGGTGTTTGAGCTTGATGGATTGCGGCTTAGGATGTTTCAGAGTTTGAGGTTTTGGGATAGGGTTGAAGCGGTCTGCTGCGGTGAACTTCAGAGCATCCCGAAGTGGAGTTTCGGGGCCCCACTGATTGGTACTGCCCTTCCTCTTGCAGTTCCAGATACTAACATCGTGTACAGTACCCCCCGAAATTCTGTTCGAGTTCTTACTGTGCGATCTTTGCACTTGCAGGGTCTAGATAGACCGCTCATGGCTACCAGCATTTAGGGCTGGCTTAGACATGTCTATGGTTTTTGGCTTCGCATGGGGTTTGGATATTTTGGGGCAGTAAGCGGACGTGGAGCAGGAAAAGGTGGACTCAGTCTGTCACTCTTCTTGAAGTTGGCAGTTCAGGATTTTCGGGGTAGTGACTGTAAGCTTTGCGGGCTTAGGGGTCATCGGTAGGTAATCTCGAGCCTTTTTCAGGCATTATACTCCTCATATATTACCAAAGATTAGCTTTCGGCTCGCCTAGGATACTAGACAAGTAAGTCAGAGCATCTGGTGCAGGATGCCGGCAATCACCATGCAGCCGTCGGGCCTGCATGAACTTGAGCTGTGCCTTTCTGCCAGGGTGGCCATGTCTGCTGAAATCTTGAGCGGGCCATTTCCGAGCTACTACTAAGGCCCTAAGTCCTAAGCACTAGGACTGGAAACCCTTTCTTTCTTGCTAATCTGCGATCTCTGATGGCCAGGCACTCTTGAGCAGAGCAGCGGCTGCTCGTTCTTCGAGTGTCCCTTTCTCAGTCTGAAACTCTCGGGGTTTTGGATTTAGGGTACAGTGTACAGGGTTGAGGGGGCCGGAACTCCAAAAATATGAGGCCTATGAGTCAGCAAAGCCGGATGCACGTACATACACACGACAAGGTATGCAGAACGGGCTGACTACATAATTCAATAGATAAGCAGGTAGTTGTACGTGGCATACTGTGCCATCGTTCGTGTCAATAGAGACAAGAACAGTTGCGGGCAGCATTCCGTACTGCTTCCTGCTGTAAAGTTCAAGCAAAATAGTTTCGAAGTCAACTTCTGATAATTTCGGCTCTATGCCCTATGCAAACCCTAAACCCTAAACCCTAAAACCCTAAACCCTTAGCTTCACCGTGAGGATGCTTCGAGTTCTTCGCGGCCAGAGCCATCTCCTTCGCCGACGGCCGGGCAGCGAAGGGTTGCTTTACAAGCCATACGAAGATGGGTTTAGGGTTTAGGGGTTTAGGGTTTAGGGTTTAGGGGTTTAGGGTTTAGGCTTCTGTCTATACAGTCGAAATCGCAATGTCAGTGTGGTATGCAGTGTCGGTAGCAGGACAGTAGCAAGAAGTACTCTGTAATCACCGGACAATGAGTATGAAGCATCAATGTGTAAGCCCCTCCCCACCATGGCGCTTAGCATGTTAGAAGCTTTCAATGGGGTTTCTACAGGAATGGTATTGAATCTCTAGACTTATGAGGGGCTTGCTTGCTTGTTTGTTTTTTGTTTCACGTGGGGCCTTTTACGAAGTTTTGTACGCGAGACAGCTATAGCTTCCTGGCAGGAAGCTCTCTTGGAAACCGCCGCCAGGACCGCCTGCGGCTTTGCATGCTACGGTTGATGATATAAATCCTGCATTACCCATAACAAGGAGTATACCACAATTCCTATAGTCTAGGGTCATCAAGGGAGTGCAGGATTTATGTCATCAACCGTAGTAAAAATCTGGGGGGGCGGGGCTGATGGTTTAGAGCAGACTCTTGTAGACGCCGTTCGAACTTATTCGCCGAGGGCATGAATAGTTGGAACAGATTGGGTCGGTAGGGAATACTAATACAAAACATTCAGGCCTGTATATCAAGTTCAGTCTCCCGAGGTTCTCAAGTCCAGAATGCCACACAAATGCTATGACATCAGAGCCCCTTGAGATATTGTAAGCTTGATTGATATTTCATCAAGATGTGCTGGCATGCTCAACAAAGATCCCCAAGACCGAGAGCAAAGAAGTCCGTTGTGGATGTGGACTCATGTAGATGTCACCTGCTGAGCCGCTCCTTTTTGTAAGACGCGATCTTGAAAGTACCCGTCCAGTGGCACAAACAGCGGCGTACTGTTGAGGGCTTAGGGCCTAGGGTGTCACAAGAAGCTTTCGTGTCGAACCCAGCAGACCTGGTAGGCCTGCGAAGAAACAACTCATGGGCCTCAGGAAATTGCCAGCACACCCTCATAATATTAGGGTTCAGGGAAAACCCAACACCCTATCAGTCGATGCTCAATTATGTACACCATGCTCCTGCTCCAGTAGGGTGCAAGGCTAGCTGCTGTCGGAGTTTGAACCCCAACACATTCCTGAAGCGCCGGGGTGCCAAAGCTCCCAACGCAAACAACGATGACATAAACGAGAATAGAGAGAAAGGATAGCAGGGATTCGGGTTCAGGGTTTAGGTCAATCTTGATGATAATAGTGGTAGAAACAGACGACCATAGGCCCATAGTTGACACAAGACTGATATACCTATTCAGCCTAGTGAGGCTATCATAAACTGCTTGCATGTATCAAGATTGTGCTGCTGCCCGTCCTTTCCCGAAACCCACAACCTCGAGCGCTGCGCTCAGACACCCGTTCTGAATCCAAGAGACCTTACTACAAATATGCCTCAAACCATCAACCCTAACCCAAAGCCCAAGCAAAGCTTTCTCGAAACCAAATAATTCCCCAAACCATAAAATGTTATACCCTACATGACCCTCTTGAAACCCTTATCAAACCTGTATGCGGACGCCCCACCTTTGAACCGAACCTTGTTTAGGAGTTTAGGGTTTCGGGGGCACAACAGACAACAGACAGGCAAAGAGAAAAGGGAGAGCCTCCAGGGTGGATGCCTTGAGCTTGGCTCGCCTTAGCAGCGGCCTAGCCGGAGGGGCACCCAGCGCGGAGGCACCACGGGGGCCTTGTTGAGTTTAGGGCTCTTGGTGTTTGTTGAGTGGGCCGACGTGGATTTGTTGTATTATTCGAGTGGCGATTCTTGGATTTTGGGGGTTGAGGTTTGGGGCTAGAGGGCTTGAGGGAGGGTGTGAGATTTTGGGGGTGTGGGGAGATTGGGAATTTAGGGTTTGAGGTTGAGCCTTTGGTGGGCGGGGTCGAGGGGTTTTGGTGTTGGAGGCTGTGGTTTCGGCTCCCAGCTCATGAGCCACACCTTGCTTCCGGCTTTCGTTGCTCACATCTATGGCTTTTAGTGCTTGCTATTACCCTTTTTCAGATTTTTCTTAGTAGGCTACATGCTTCTGGCCCAGACTATTGGGGGCTATGCAGCGTGAGAGCATGTGGGGTTGCTGCTCACGGGCACCTTTGCTTTTGAGCTTCTGGAGAAACCGTTCTACAGGTCTGCTGGGGCTTCGGGCTGCGACTCTACGGCGATCACGATGAGTACCACGACTATTGCTACTATTGCAACTGCCACTACGACGACGACTACTACTACTACTGCTGCTACTACTACTACTACTACTACTACTACTTCTACAACTTCTACTACTTCTACTACTTCTACTACAACTACAACAACTACTACTACTGCTACTGCCACAACTACCACTACCTGCTTCCATTGCTACAGAGCTGCTTCTGCTGCTGCTGCCTCTTGTGGGGCCCGTACTAAGTACCAACCTTTGAAGTGATCGTAAGCCATGTGTTGGAAGGTTAGGATTTAGTATCAGTGTGGCATAGAATGAGGGGTACCGTATTCTCGGGTCCTTATAATAATAAGGATCCTACTATTTAGGGCATTATCTTAGGATCCCCTATTTTGGGAAACTCCCAGATGAAATCTCGTCACAGACGTTTGCCTCAAGGCGGCCCAGGCGACGGCCAGTGGCATCGCTGCAGCCATAAGCAGTGCACAAGGCCCGTGCTTCAAGTTTTTGTTTTTCAGTATTCCTGTGCGCTTTGCGGGGCTACTTTGAGGTGGCACGATACGTGCAGGGAGGGGTTGCGAACACAGTTTCAATCTGATTTTGCTGTAGGTTGTGGAGCTGAGAGAGGGGCGACTTGCGTCTCTGCACTCGTGCAACTTCGATGTGTGTAGCACGACTTGGGCATGCGCTACCAGCATGTATCAGCATGTGAAGCTCTTCGCCCAAAGCGACGTGAAAAACCCTAAACCTCAAAAATCCACAAGCACCAGGGTCAAGAGCTCCAATGCTTTTAACTATAGTCTCCTTAGGGACTATGTACTTTTGATTTTTGTTCATATGAAACCCAAGAGAATATTAGCAATAGTTGTTTTTTATTATGGTTCTAAGGGGGGTATAGTTAAGAGCAAACATGCACCTGCATCTGCCTTTCCAGCCGGCAGGCTCTGCTTCCAGAGACCAGAGGCTCTGCGGGTATTTTTTCGGGTCCTTTGGGTTTGGAGTTTCGGATTTAGGGTTTAGGGCTTTGGGTTTGGGGTTTCGGATTTATCACACAGGACATCATGGTTCCAGTATCGTGATCCGTGGTATCAGAGTATATTCGATGCATTGTGTTTTGTTGCATATTATTCTGGATTATTCTGTGTTATTTTCCATCAGTATGTATTACGATGCATTACTATGATGTATTGTTATGTACCATTAAGTATCTTTTTCATCATGTACTATTTATGTATTATTATGTATTCTGCTGTGGTTCCCTTCTAATCCCAGACCCTCAAGCCTAAATCCTAAGCTGCCTAAACCCTCGAGTCATTTGGCCCATTCATCCTTAATCTCGAAACCCAAATCACAGCAACGGTAAACCCCACAACCAGACCTCTCAACCCATAAACCCTGCTTAAAGAAGGGGTTTCGGGATATCCCAACCTTGTGGTTTTTGCTTGATTTGTGAGTACCTGGTACTGGCAACATACGCAACCCTTGTTTTGTTGCTGTGAAACACTGAACGCTAAAACGACAAACCCTACATAGCCGCGACCCTTCGATCTCTATATCCTGAAACCCTATATTTCAAAAAGTAAATCCCGAATCCCAGACTCTGAACCGAGGCCCTCATTCCCGAAATCCTAAACCTGAAGCATCTTCAGCCTAGCCCTAAACTGTAAACCCTAACAGTAGTATTCCTCAATCTAAACTTACGCGCGCTCCTTTGGAAAGCAATGCGCCAATAGCACCCCTAAACCCGAAACCCGAAACCCTAAACCCAAAACCCCAAACCCCTAAACCCTAAGCCCTAAAATCCTAAAGCCCGAAGCCTGATCCAAGAAGCCCGACTTAACCCAAGAAGCCTAAAATCCCGAAGCCCTAAAGCCCAAAACCCTGAAACCCCAACACCCTGAACCCCAAACCCCAAACCTCGAAACCCCAACTCTAAACCCCATATGGGAGTTTCCGAAAATAAGGGACCCTCATATAGTACCCTAAATAGTAGGATCCTTCTTATAATAAGGACCCCAAGTTAAGGTACCCCTAATTTTCGGAAACTCCCACATAAACCCCAAAACCCTCAACCCCAAAGCTCTAAACCCCAACCCTAAACCCTAAAAGCCCCAAAAGCCCTGCGTCCTGTTAGGCTGCCACCAGACATCCTCACAAGGCTCCTCCAAGAGCCCTGGCTCTGCCAAAGGCCCGGCGCACCGAGCAGTGGTAAGGCTCCTCCAGAGTCTCCTTACGATTTATTTTTCATATTGTTCAGATAAAACCCAAGAGGATATTAAAGATAGTATTTTATTATGGTTCTAAGGGGGGTATAGTCCCCTTTCATGGTTGTGGGAAGGTTTGTTGTAGTGGTACGTTTACAGGATTTTGAGCCCCCAAGGTCCAGATTCCTTTGCGATCCATACAGCATTGCACCGTAGGGTGCTACTACACAAGCGGCGGAGATTTTTTGTAGTTCTGAAATTGCTTGCTAACTGAGCTACTTGGAGACTATGACTATGTCTAGCCACATCTCCGCATATCTCGACCCTAGGAGCAAGCACAGGTGTGCCCATTGGCAGCTTGAGCGGAGCACGCACTTCAGGTTTTCGAGTGCTGTACATAGCACTCAAAGCAGTATCAACCATCCTCCCCAGAGCATGAGGAACGCCCCTAATGTGGATGTCTGAACAAGTAGAACTCCCCTGTAGAGTCTACAAAACCAGGTTATGCCGTTATGCCATGTTGCAACATACCCCTATAGTATTTTGCTTCGCTGCACTGTGCTTCACTCCCGCTGCCTCATCCTGCGAGATTTGCAGGCTTTGGCTCCTCTCCGACGTGGCCCTGCTGGCATCTCATTGTACCGCAATTTGCAGAGAATCGTATACAGGGGTTCCTCTCAGGGTCCAGGGTTTAGGGTGAAACCGGAACCTCCGTAAACTAGCAGAATTGCTAGAGCGGGCTGAGGGCAAGACTTCACACCGTCCTGGCCGATGCCGCTACCATAATGTGATATAGCTTGGTTTAGTGTGTTACCAATACAAGACTGTATAGTAGAGTATAGTACGGTACAGTATGGCATGGTATAGTCAAGTAGACTAAATGCAATACCATCCAGGAGAACATCACGGAGTGTGAAGGCGTATATGTATGTATATATATATATATATATATATGTATATATACGTACATAATATGGTGAAGCCTTAGACGACCCGATGTAATATGATATGGTACATTATAGCATAATAACAGACAACCTAATACGAAGGCATAGTAGAATGTATTGTCCGTACTGTTCGGAGATACTTTGCCGTACTTTACTTGTCATGTACTACGCCACTACGTGTTTCGTATATTATGATACGTCACCGTACAGCTATGCACATATACGTGCATACATGCGCACATACATACTGCATACATACATTTACATACATGCATACATACATAGGTACATGCATACATGCATACACAGATGCATACAAGGATGCATGTATGCCTACATACATGCACATGTACACATACATATACATGTACATGTACATGCACCTTTACGTATAAACGTATATGTGCATGCACATCTACATATACAGATACACACACACACATATGAACAAGTATCTGCATACAAGACATGTTTCCAAATTTACAGTATGTGACTAGACCGGGAGTGGTCAATCACTTGTGCCTAACAAACATGCGTGGTGAGGCATGTAATCCCAGTGGAACTGCAGCAAAAACTTTTGATGGAATGCATCATTTACTGCACTTCTCTTTGCCATGGGGCACGATAGGTGTTACCGGTGTTTCTCAGACATGCCTCGCTGCCAACATGTATGGTACTACTGGCCGAACTGCATGCGACTCGGTTCGCGTAATTCGCCATTGGAATCACACCAAGGCCGTGGCTGGCTCTTCAGTGCCGTCATTTTCAGGTGTTCCCGCCGGAATTCAGGTTGTTTGGGCCCATACTGATGCGTTCAAGGGCGCTGTGGACATTTCGTGGTTGCCTACCCTGTACCAGTGTCCCAGTGGCCGAACAAAGCACGGTTTCTTTCTGTTTCTTTCTTCAGCGAGTGGAACGGTACAATGCAGTTGAGGAGAGCATATAGTTTCTTCTAGTCTCAGTGCTGTGGGCTGCTCCTAGCATCAGTCACTTCAGTCAAGCACAAATACAGATTTGCTTCGGATGACTTCGGATCGCTTTTGGGAATGCCAAGTCTGGACTAGACGCCCCAAAGGCTTCAAGCGCTTTCTCCCCGGAAGCTGTGAGCTTGACGCTGCTTGCTTTTTGAGGGTAAATCAGCAAGAGGTTCAGCTCAAGGTTGTTCTGAGCCCGTTCGCACCAACCGTAAACCTTAAAAGCAATCTGAAACCTTAAACCCCTAAACCCCTAAACCCTACACCCCAAAAGTGGCCAGGTCGCCATAGCTGCACATCTTCCCAACTTGTCGCCCTGGCACCTTTGGAAAAAGCTTCTGGAGCTGCGAGGTTGCGACCCAGGGCGTTGCAGATGTATGCTGACTTGTCATGTAGTCCCTATACACTGCCGACCCCAATCCTAAACAATGTAGAAATTTGCAGGACAGATGCCATAAACCCTAAACCACCAAAAAGGCCCTAACAAAAAAGCTAGACCCTAAACGCCCTAAACCCTAAACCAAAACACCACTGCAGCCCCAAGTGCGAAGCCCCTGAAATCCAAGCGGAAGCCTACCTCCAAGGCCCGAGCCCAAAAGACTGTCAAGCCACCCCCCCAAACCCGCCGGATGGATGGTATAAACAAACACGAACATTGGTACCGTTGTCATAGTCCTTACAAGTGTCATTATTGTTACTGTTGTTGTTGTTGCTGTTGCTGTTGCTGTTGCTCCTCCTGCTTCTGTCAGTTGTTGCCGCTGCCGCTGCTGGTGCTGCTGCTGGTGCTGATGCTAGTGCTGGTGCTGGTGCTGGAGTTGTTGTTGTCGTTATTGGGGTTGCTGCTGATCTTAATTACTACTTACCCTGAACTTTCATGAGATCCCGAGTACTCCAAAGCTACACCCCAAACCCTGATCTCCCCAAGCCAAAGACCCTCTTGTCGAACTACCCTCCTAAACTCCGCCCAGAACAAGGGAATTGTCTCAAACGAGATCGGGATCAAAAACAAGTTAAACTAGATTAACAAAATTAGGTTTGGGTCAGTATACACATATACATACATATATATATATATATATATATATATATATATAGGCGCAAGCATGCCTATAAACACACACACACACATATATATATATATATATATATATAAGAGAGAGGCGCCTCTAGGGTCTATTTGTCTATTTTACGCTCCATTCTTTTCCTTATAACTACTATTATTCTAAATAATTGAAATAATTGAAATAATTTAAATCAGCAGAGCTGATTTCAATTATTTCAATTATTTAAATCCGCCAGAGGGCCCAAATAATTGAAATAATTGAAATCGATGGTTGCTATGGGCCAAGCCACGAATCCCACCGATTTGAATTATTGAAATAATTGAAATAATTGAAATAATTGAAATCCGACTCATTTCAATTATTTCAATTATTTAAATCCGCCAAAGGGCCCAAATAATTTTTCAATTATTTCAATTATTTCAATTATTTCAATTATTCAAATCACTGGATTTGGTGGCTTGGGCCCATGGAGCTTTCGGATTTCAATTATTTCAATTATTTAAATCCGCCAGATGGCCCAAATAATTGAAATAATTGAAATCGATGGTTGCTATGGGCCAAGCCACGAATCCCACCGATTTGAATTATTGAAATAATTGAAATAATTGAAATCCGACCCATTTCAATTATTTCAATTATTTAAATCCGCCAAAGGGCCCAAATAATTGAAATAATTGAAATAATTGAAATCAGCCCCATTTCAATTATTTCAATTATTTCAATTATTTCAATTATTTCACAAATCACTGGATTTGGTGGCTTGGGCCCATGGAGCTTTCGGATTTCAATTATTTCAATTATTTAAATCCGCCAGAGGGCCCAAATAATTGAAATAATTGAAATCGATGGTTGCTATGGGCCAAGCCACGAATCACACCGATTTGAATTATTGAAATAATTGAAATAATTGCAATAGTTGAAATAATTGAAATCAGCCCCATTTCAATTATTTCAATTATTTAAATCCGCCATAATTAAAATAATTGAAATAATTGAAATCAGCCCCATTTCAATTATTTCAATTATTTCAATTATTCAAATCACTGGATTTGGTGGCTTGGGCCCATGGAGCTTTCGGATTTCAATTATTTCAATTATTTAAATCCGCCAGAGGGCCCAAATAATTGAAATAATTGAAATCGATGGTTGCTATGGGCCAAGCCACGAATCCCACCGATTTGAATTATTGAAAAAATTGAAATAATTGAAATAATTGAATTAATTGAAATCCGACCTATTTCAATTATTTCAATCCGCCAGAGGGCCCAAATAATTGAAATAATTGAAATCAGCCCCATTTCAATTATTTCAATTATTTAAATAATTGAAATCCTGGGGTTCTGTGGATGAGGCTCATGGATCACCTCCCCCCACACCCCCCCCCCTCCTATCACCCACTCACCCCTACCACCCCTGTTTAGGGCCTAGCCCCCCCCCCATCGCCCCCTCTCACCCTCCCCCCACCCCAACCCCCCTCTTCCCTCCCTTCGGTCCTTGGCCCTGGTTCGCCCCGGGCTCCCTGCCCCAACCCTGGAACCCACCTCCACCCCACCAACACCCCACTCCCCACACCCACCACCAGCCCACTCCCACTCCCCCAAACCCACCCCTCACCCCCAACCGCCCACCATCCACCCCATCCCACCCTCCCACCCACCACACACCCTCTTCAGCTAGGACCCCCCAATTCAGCTAGGTTTTCGAATGGACCCCCCGATGTTCAGCTAGGTTTTCGAATGGGCAGGCTGGGCCGCTGGCTGAGACCAGTGTTCAGCTAGGTTTTCGAATGGGCTGGCTTTAGGGTTTAGGGCCTAGGGTTTGGGCTATAGGGTTTAGGGCCTAGGGTTTAGGCTATAGGGTTTAGGGCCTAGGGTTTGAGCTTTAGGGTTTACGGCCTGGGGTTTGGGCTTTAGTGTTTAGGGCCTAGGGTTTAGGCTTTAGAGTTTAGGGCCTAGGGTATGGGCTTTAGGGTTTAGGGCCTAGGGTTTAGGGTTTAGGGCCTAGGGTTTGGGCTATAGCGTTTAGGGCCTAGGGTTTGGACTTTAGGGTTTAGGGCCTAGGGTTTGGGCTCTAGGGTTTAGGGTTTAGGGACACATTTCAGGCCGGAAATGTGTCATCTTTTCCGCCTTACAGAGAGAAGCATGACACATTTCAGGCCGGAAATGTGTCATCGTTTCCGCCTTACAGAAAGCAGCATGACACATTTCAGGCCGGAAATGTGTCATCTTTTCCGCCTTACAGAAAGAAGCATGACACATTTCAGGCCGGAAATGTGTCATCGTTTCCGCCTTACAGAAAGCAGCATGACACATTTCAGGCCGGAAATGTGTCATCTTTTCGGCCTTACAGAGAGAAGCATGACACATTTCAGGCCGGAAATGTGTCATCGTTTCCGCCTTACAGAAAGAAGCATGACACATTTCAGGCCGGAAATGTGTCATCATTTCCGCCTTACAGAAGGAAGCATGACACATTTCAGGCCGGAAATGTGTCATCTTTTCCGCCTTACAGAAGGAAGCATGACACATTTCAGGCCGGAAATGTGTCATCTTTTCGGCCTTACAGAAAGAAGCATGACACATTTCAGGCCGGATGATCACAGAAAGAAGCATGACACATTTCAGGCCGGAAATGTGTCATCTTTTCCGCCTTACAGAAAGAAGCATGACACATTTCAGGCCGGAAATGTGTCATCTTTCCGCCTTACAGAAAGAAGCATGACACATTTCAGGCCGGAAATGTGTCATCTTTTCCGCCTTACAGAAGGAAGCATGACACATTTCAGGCCGGAAATGTGTCATCGTTTCCGCCTTACAGAAAGAAGCATGACACATTTCAGGCCGGAAATGTGTCATCTTTTCCGCCTTACAGAAGCGCATGACACATTTCAGGCCGGAAATGTGTCAAGAAAGAAGCATGACACATTTCAGGCCGGAAATGTGTCATCGTTTCCGCCTTACAGAAGGAAGCATGACACATTTCAGGCCGGAAATGTGTCATCGTTTCCGCCTTACAGAAAGAAGCATGACACATTTCAGGCCGGAAATGTGTCATCGTTTCCGCCTTACAGAAAGAAGCATGACACATTTCAGGCCGGAAATGTGTCATCGTTTCCGCCTTACAGAAAGAAGCATGACACATTTCAGGCCTCCCCCTGTTCCCTTGCCCCCTCTCCTACCATCCCTGCCTTCCCCACCTCCTCACCTTTCCCTCCCCTTTGCCATTTGCCCCCTGCCCCCTGCCATCTCCATCATATCCATCACCCCCATCATCTTCTTCATCTCCATCATCTTCATCATCTCCATCATCTCCATCATCTTCATCATCTCCATCATCTCCATCATCTTCATCATCTCCATCATCTCCATTATCTTCATCATCTTCATCATCTGCATCATCTTCATCATCTTCATCATCGTCGTTGCCGGTTTCATTGGTTTTAATACCGCTCCCTCTATTCTTAAAGGTAATTTCATAGGTATTGTACGAACCATAATACAATCGATTTATCTTAACTACTATATCAAGAATAGCTTACCACATCGCATCTACATACTTTGTAACCGGGCTTACTATAAAGGCCCCATATGAGGGATCCATAATGGGTTTCTAGAAAGTCTCTCTGTAAGGGATCTATAGTTTTTTATATAATGGATTTATATAAGGTCTCTACATAGAGGATCTATAAGATTTCTATAAGCAATCTGTAAGGGTTTTCCAGAAGGGCTCCATACGAGGGATCTATACAGGGCTTCCATGTGGTTTCTACAAAGGGTAAGGAATATATAGCAGTTGTCTATGAAAGCTCCATGTAAGGGATCTTGTAAAGTTTTCTACAAAGAACTCCATTTGTTGATCTATACGGGGTTTCTATAAGTTCTCTATATAGGGGATCTATAAAGTTTCTATACGAATCTATAAAGGCTGTCTATGAGGGCTCCATACAAGGGATCTGTGAAGGGATCTATAGGGATTCTTCATGGGAATGTATACCTTCGATACGGATAATTGCGCCTTTGTTAAGATCGTGAAGACTATTAACTACGTGATATCCTTTTTGGCTAATGCTGTGATCACATCAGATCTGATATGTATAGAGATACATTGGAATGCACATGGGAAAACAAACTGACACATTACAGGCCTTCTAATGTGTCATTATTCCTATTGAAACCTTAAAGGCAAGGAACTTATACACTGTAGGGCATCTGTATTTTGGAAGGCCTCTGGGTAGTATAAATTGACG